AAAGAAGCTTTCAAATGTCCTGCATCATGAATGCCTTTTCACACCGGCCAATGTAATTACAGAATCATTCAGGCGAACGATCTCTAGCAAAAATAAAAAACGAATGGTACATTTGCGTTAAAAATCGAAATGCTCACTGTACTTTCTTTCGTACTAGTGCAGCATGTACAGCGAACATTATCTGCGGTCGTTTCAGATATGAATGATTACCCGATCGAAGTGCAAGTGTTTACACACTAGTCAAAGACACAGATTGGCCATCCAGATCGGCGTGAAGGCGATCACGCTTCGCTCTAACACTCCGGAACCGCTTTAACATTATCCATGAGGACCTGCCAAACATGAAAAATGCCGTAAAGTGATAAAGTCGAGAATTTTTGCAAGTTATTGACTCGCACCATCCATCAATATGGAAGTCATAGCTCATCTGGAAAAGAAACAAAGCCGGAACGAAACTAAAATCGAGCAGGTCATTGCAGACGAGTCGTAACTGCCACAAAAAAAGAAATATGCCAATTCAACTCAGCGTATTGTCAGGATAATTGGTTCCTATTCTAAGAGACTTCGAAGAACCCAAGAACAATAACTCCAATATCCAACTTCCTGATTATTTAAGAAGCGTTGCACACATTTTTGATTATTAAATACTAACATCCTCACGTGTTGTATCGTAAAGAATTTTGCTCTGTATTACACAGAATATGATAGTGCAATTAGGAATGAAACAAATTGCAAAATAAATGCTTTATAAGTTGTATCCTTCTGTTTCCCGACTATGGAAACAAAGGTGAACCAACAGCCTGAGGGGAACCCAGGCAGGAGTCACCGAACTACTGTACAGACGATCGGCTGTGGCGAGCAAATCACCGCGTACCAGTTTGCATAGCGTACGCAATTTGGGACTGCATTCCGCAGATGTTTAATTAACGTGCCTGTTCTCACCCAAAGCAGACTTGACCCGATACTGAGAGACCCCCGCCTGAGCAGCGATGAGCTAACGAATTATTACAACGGATATTTGGCAATCAGACAGTCAAAACGAAGTGCAGCCAGAAATAGAGGTCGCGTCGGACGGCATGGCTGTATACCTTGTCCATTCTGGAATTATCAGACCAAAGTACCATGCAGCCCTTATTTTTCGCAAGTAGCCAACTTACTACTCGTTTCTCGGTCGGGTGCACCGAAACTATGAGAGGGTAATTCCCCTCCCAAAGGAATTCGTGGTGAAAACAAAGGTTGTCGCTTCAGTAAATTCGAACTTGGCACCTGGAGTTCAAAGCCTACCTCTTTGTGATTATGACACCATGTCCCATCAAGTCGCATTTCACGAGTTTTCTGAACAACAGCCAAATAAGGGCTCCCTTACTTGTACAGGAATTCTGTCCAGAGCAGATGGCGCTCATACTTCTAATTTGTGGCATGGTGGCACAGTGTCTGAGGTCTTCGAACTCCAGAGGTGTACGGCTCGAATCCACCGTTGGTCAGTATTCGTCTTATCCACGAACTCTTAGACAAGAAATTTACCACAGGATGATTAAGTCCAGGGTTGCTCATTACTTAGAACCTCAGACTCAAAAACGAGGGGCACTGGGTTCGAGCCTTGGTAGGGGTCACTAGCCTTTCTTCTTTCCTAGGTTGAAAAACGAGTAACACGGTAGGAAAAAATGATACTAGACGTTATGTTTGCCGCATGGCCGTAGACTCTGCCCCTAACATAAAGCACTCCTGGCTGATGGCACAAAAACAGGCATAAGCACACCCATTAACTTCATTAAAAGAAGGGGTACATGGTACTCATTACTAGAAATGACCCCATTATTAAAATGTAAGGAAGACCAACGGATTTAAACTTTCTTTTTTATACTTTTATTTCGATCTAAAATTTCTTCAACTTCAGTGAGTGATACTTCATCCAATGCTAAGCGGTTTCATGCCACTTTTGTCAAGACTACTCTGTAGAATTCTTAATTTAGCAACGGCTCAAAAGGATCAGAAAAATGCTTATTTTTCACTTCTTTAGATTTTGTAGTTTTTGCCTTTCATGGACTTATTTCACAAGTGGCTTGCTCATTCTTCTCTGGCTTACAATGGGATAAGCTTCTTGTATTTTTAAAACATTATAAATCACTTCACAATAACTCACAACAAATCACAATAAAAACACAATAACTTGCCTAACACACATGCATCTAGATAGATAGAAAAGAAGCTAGTGCAAGACGCACATAGCATGCCTCCTCTATAATATAGATCAGTGGGCGGCAATAATTACTTGCATTTGCAAACTCCATCCTAACTCCACCGCTGCCGGTCCCAAGATTGGATGAGAAAGGAGGAGGATTGGAGACCATTGCAAATCTCCGTAAAACTAACCCACCAGCAATTCCTGGTATTCGTCCCATCGAAAAATATACCGGCTCGGTCGTCGCCCGGGTTACCAAGGGCCGCGCAGGTTGTCGCGGGACTGAGGCAGACTGCGAAAAGTTGGCGATCAGAACCTGCCCAATGCCCTTTGCCAGCCAGGGGGCGTAGCTGCACAATAACGGCTAACGAAGACCGACGGAACGACGACGAAGATACCAGTTAGCAACGGAATGGCTACCCGTTCTGAACAAGGGAGGCAGACAGCGCGATGCCATTACAGCACGTAAGAAAAAGGCCCACGAGAACGACACCACCAGTGGGACCTAAAAGTCGGAAATTAGAATATATCCTCACTGACAGGAAAAGAACAAGAATTAGTTGATGAGGCCATAAAGTACCAACTCAACATTGTTGGACTCTCGTCAACGAAACATTTAGGCTCTGGACATCTCAACCTCAATGGATGGAAGCTATTCTACTCAGACGTCGATATCACGAATCGCGCTCAAGACGGTGTTGGTGTTCTGGTAGAACCCAACATTGCCGACAGAACTATTCACTGCAAGCCGGTCAGCGGAAGCGTGGTAATCCTCCGACTGAAGATACAACAGGTTAAAGCGCTGACCTTGGTACAGGTCTATGCGCCAAATTTGGAGGGAGAACAAGAAACCTTCCCTGAAGAAGTACAGTGTGCTCTGTCCGAAGTGCCGAATACAGAATCCGCCAAATTCACCGGCGATTATAATGCGCATGTCGGAGTAGACGCTGAAAAGAGGAACGGCGTAACTGGAACGAACGGCCTTAGCGACATTACCAATAACGGCATGAAGCAGTTGCGGTATTGTGCAAACAACGTACTGTCCCTTATGAACACCTTCTAGCATCGAAGAATCCATCAGTATACCAGGAAGCTTCTGCACAAAAGTCGATAATCGATGTGATAATCGTATAGTCTTACTTAAGACTTTCAGTAATGAATGTTCGGGTTAAGAGAGGTGTAGAGCCATCAACCGATCATCACCTTGTTGTTGACACCCTACGCTGTAAAAAATGGAGTACCATACGAAGATCTGGTGGCAGAAGCAAGCGGAGAATCAAATGGGAAACATTAGGTGGAAGAGAGAGCGAAATTTGAAAACAACATCGCACGACGGTTTGAACAGATTCCGGCGATGAAAACTGATGTTGAAACCGAGTGGCAGCTCTTTAAGAGCGGCATACTAGAGGTTGCCGCCAAATGCTGCGGGTATAAACGGGTTCACCTGCCGCCTGTAGGTAAGAAAAGATCTTCATGGTGGACACGAGAGGCACAGCTGGCAGTTAAAGAGAAAAAAGCAGCGTTCAAGAAATAATCTGGAAAAAAAGAACCATCAGTTCGCGTGCGATACGTCGTGGCATGTAAAGCCGCTGCCAAGGCAATGGCAAAAGCCAAAGCTGATTCCTGGGACAATTTCGGTGAGATGTTGGAGTCGAATTTCCACATGGCAAACAAAGTATTCCGGCAGACCATCCGCCGGCTCCGAGGTGAAAATAAGGTCAGTCTCAGAGTCCTAAAGGACAGGTCTGGACACCCTCTTACCAAGGATGATGACATTCTTCGGCGATGGAGGGAGTACTTAGTGTTACTCCTTAACGTCGCGTAACAACAGGAAGACTCGCCTTTAGAGCAGAAGGGTACGGATATTACTATCTCTGTAGATGAAATTGCACAGGCTGTAAAAAGCTTGAAAAATGGAAAAGGTGCCGGAACTGACGAAATCCGCCCTGAGATGCTCAAGGCATTAGGCGAACAAGGCATGTGCTGACTAACGCGTGTTTGTCAAACTGCGATGACTGCGGGAAAGACACCAACGGACTGGAGAACGGGAGTTGTATTACCCGTATTCAAGAAGGGAG